CCATGCTAAATGACTCCCATCTCTCTGGTCAATCCTACTTGTACTTTATGTAATTATTAAGCATGGATGTATGCATCCATCAAATAACTAATTCAGGATGCTACCTGCAGAGGAAAACAATCAATTAAAATGAGAAATTTTACATTTGTATTCTTTGACATATTATCTACCTATCTTAATTAAAAAATGAGAACAATTTATAAAAAAGTAATGACAACTGATTTCATTTAAAATTAACTTTCTTTAAAATATTAATATTTTGTGTTGAAGGATCCTTTTTTTTGACTCCCTTTATAATATCAACATTATTAACCAAAAGGTGTCCCTTGCCTCTTTTAGGGGGAGCAATTCCCCACCAGCTACTCCACCACTTCTGGCCTGTAGGGAATAGTTCCCCACTGCATTAAAAGGAGTAGGGTCTGAGTAATATATTTATAAGTATGACCCCCAAATGTCTAGTCATGTACTGCTGTCCCCCATTCCTATCTTGGTTGGCATCATTTCTGCTTCTCAACATGTTCTATGACCTGTACAGTTATGTTTGTCTTCTTGCTTCACCTACTCTCAATTCTCTTCCTCTGTCTTCTTCAGACATTTTTTTTTGAAGAGGAAAACAATAATTTAAAATGGGAACTTCTTCATCCATATTCTTTAACATAAGTGGAACATTTGTAAGCCAACAAACAACTTTTCTTTTTTAACAACTTTTCTTATGATTTCTTACAATACTTACAAGTTAAACAATGTAAAAAAATATAACTCCAAATATTCATATATGTATACATACACGCATATTTCTTCTATTAGAACTGATGGTTATACTTAACTATTCCAACTGTAAAATGATGATACCCTGCTGCCAACCTAATACTGCACTTAAATTCAAAGTCCAGGTACCATAGAGGAAAGTTCATCAGAAAATTACCACAAAATTATAGAAAAGACATTCCTTATTTAGCACTCTTGGAACAAATTTTTGGTCCATGAAGTTGAATCACACTTGTATCATCCATACTCCAAATGTCTTTTGTTCAAAAGCCAATTTTAATAAAGAGTTGTATTCAAAAGTAATTTTCAGCTAAAAATTAAGCAAAATTAAAATTTTCTTAATTACAGTAATAAAATTGAAGAGCTTTTACATGCTTACTTCCCTTGAATCTCACTTGGCTAATTATTTTTGGTTAGATAGGATTAATGAAAAAAAAACATTGCCATACTAACTCTTTGAAGAAATATTGGGAAGTGTATGATACCAATTATTGGTTATTGGTAGCAAAAAATTAAAAACTGTTTTAAATTCAATTGAAGCTATTTATGTTCACCTTTCTATCTAATTCCCAGATATCTTAGTGTCTTGTCATTGGCATGCTGCAGTGGTTGTCTGTGAAAAGTGTGTGTGAAGAAGCAATTTAGCACACCATTCTCTTCCTAATAACATTCCTTCCCAAGCAGTCATAACAATGAAAGTTTTGTTTGTGGGGTTTTAGAACAGGCACTGTGACCACAAATTATTGTTTGTTTTGTTTTTTCTTTTTTTTTCTTTTTTTTTTTTCAAATATTTTTTCATAGATTAAGCACTCTAGATCACAAATAATTAGTTTTAACTTATGAAAATTCCATGATTTTCCTATTTGAAATTTTTGGTGAATCTTAACAATTAATGATTGAATAAGTTCATGGTGAGTTCTATGACAATAAAATATCCATAGAAATTCCCCCATCACATTAAATATTTGAACTCAACAACTTTAACAAAATATTGCAATAACAATCATAAATATGAATTCTAGTCGTTATTTTAAGAACAAAGTAAAAATGAAGATTTGAAATTGACAACTTTTCACTGAAACAACCTTTATATACGTCTATATTTCCCTTTTCCATTTTCTGACTGAAACTAGTGTTTTGATGTCTTTTGTCTTAAAATCAAAACAGATCATTTGTTAAACACTTCTATCTTTCTTTCACTGAAACCAAGTAGTGTCTCTGATATATCTTTTCTTTTCACACAATAAAAATGGAATAGTCCATTATTAGGTATTGTCAGCGTGTAACAGTCGTGCAAACTAATGAGGTGAGGAAACGGCACAATTATATGATAAAAAAAATTATTCAATTTTATAAAAAGTTAATAGGGGGTCAAGTTTGCTATTTAAACTATGTAAATTGATCTCGCTGTGGAAGACAAAACAAATATTTTGATTTCTTAACATTTAAAAAGACAATTATTTTTTTTTTTTTTTTTAACTTTTGTTTTTTAATTCAGAATTGGGAGTGCTTAATTGATATTAATATATGAAAAAAGTACTCCAGATCATGAATTTTGTTTTTCAAATTTTTAAAAAATTTGAAAATGCTAAGTGAACGTAAATTTCATTTTTTTTTTTTTTTTTTTTTTTTTTTTTTTTATCAATTTACAATGGATTTACATAGCAAACTGGAGAACGTGCCATTAACTTTTATAAAATTTAATTAAAAAAAAAAAAAATTATTTTCTTTATGTTCTGGAGTGGTTAATGTAAGAAAATTACTTTTGCTTGCAGTGTCTATTGTACAAGTTCACCAAGTTGTTTAGTCAACATTGACTAGAATCAATCAATAAATACTATTTAACAATATTTTAAAACAGTTTAGGTTTGAAAGTAACCTTTTTTTTTATAAATCTAAGTATAATTTTAACCTTTTTTTTTTATAGTATGTGAATATTTTCAATGTACTTTGAATTATGGGATTTGTTTGTGGAATGTTGAGTCACTTGTTTGAGGCTGTGTTGTTATTGATAATAGTGAAACATGGGAGGGGGAATTAATTCTCAAAACATTTCAAAGCATTATTAATTCATCATCCTCACCCTTCAGGGGTGTATATAATTGACCCAACTTGGGTTCTGCTCCCACCCACTCTCCTTTGTCCTCCCTCCCCTTCATAGTTTTTTTAAAATTTCCTTCCCACCATATTCCTCCCAACCACAAAGTCTTGCTGAAATATACATTTGTCACTTTTGATAGATGTTTGGATATACCCATAGTGTAACTACTAATTACCTATTTATCAATATAACTATTTTAAGTTGAGAGGTTTGCTCCTACTAATTTTGTGAGAACAAAATTATATCCCTTGAAATATTAGTTGGAGTTTGTATTCCTCCCTTCTCTTTGGTCAGTACCACTTGGCTGTTAAACTAAGATATCCTTACTTTCACTAGCTTACACTAAACTAAAAATAGTCCTTTCCATTTCCCTCGGTCTCTATCCTTTAGCTTTTATTTTTAGTTTCATTTTGCCTTTGATCTCCTCCCCAACTCAACAGGGAGAGGGAATAGTCAACTTTACACACTCCTTATTATAAATTATAATAAGGAATTTATAAAGTTAACTATCCCTATTGACTATATATATATATATATATATATATATATATATATATATATATATATATATATATATATATTTACAAATTGAATTAATGATAGGTTTAGATGTGAAAAATAAGAGAATATATGCATTACAGAAATATTCATCACATTTATAATAGTATAATGGTAGAAATTTAACACAAGAAAAACAAAAGATTTAATTAGAGTAAATTAACACACACACACACACACACACACACACATATATATATATATATATATATATATATATATATGTTAATAGCATTGGGTTCTATAGCCTTGGATGGCAACTGGTCTCACGCAGAAAGAAATGGCAATCTACTGAGGGAAAAAATCTGCCCCATCAGTCATGTATCAAAAGATACATGATCACTTAAGCATGTATCATGCATGGCACATAACTTTATCTGTCTATATTTCTGAGATGAGGTATTATGTACACTATTTACATTATTCAGACTATTGTCCTCATCTTTGTCACCATATTTATTACAACATTTCAGCCGTTGTACACTCCAGCCTTCTTCAGGTGGTTGGAATGTCGAACTGAACCCTTTATTTTGCTCACTGGAGTAGACTGTTCTAGTTCCACATGCCATGTCTAATAGATGTCAGTTATCTTCTGCTAATTCCCCTCTCCAAGTTCTCCACTGCCTTAACTTACACTCTTTGAGTCCTGTCACTGGATCTAACTAATGCCTTTATCCATTGTGCCATGTGTCCTTGAGGTAATAAATATGGTGACAAAGATGAGGACAATAGTCTGAATAATGTAAATAGGGCACATAACTGAACTGAATTTTGTTGATTTGTATCAAATAACCACTCCGTACAGTGGCCCAACTTTAAAGCAGTTTTACTCTTAAAAGACCAACCAGCAACAACAAATTGCAAGTTAATTCTCATTAATGCTGATTGTTGCTTTTTATCACTGTATAACTGGTCAATATTTTTTAATCATTTCACCCCAAGCAAGGCAATAAAGCCACTAGGATGCAAGGAGTTACTGAGTGTGAGAGAATATTAAAAAAATAAAACATTAAAGAACAAGAGAAATAAAAGAAGATTCAAGAAGATAGATAATTGCATTTAAATTTTTGAAGATCAAAGTTGACTGGGAAGCAAGATGCCAGAAGAGTTCCACAAGCAAAAAGTGCAATAGAAGAAACTCTTAACATAGAACTGATGGTTATACTTAACTATTCCAACTGTAAAATGATGGTACCTTGCTGCCAACCTAATTCTGCAATTAAATTCAAAGTCCAGGTACCATAGAGAAAAGTTCATCAGAAAATTACCACAAAATTATAGAAAAGACATCTATCTTTCATACTGTGTACTTTGGGCCATACACTGTAAAGCATATCTTAATAAAATGTAATGAACTAACTATGACCCAACTCTTTAATTATCAAATAAATTAAAGGAATTATCCAACAAAACCCAATCAAAGATAACATTTCTTATGATTTCTTACAATACTTACAAGTTAAACAATGTAAAAAAATATAACTCCAAATATTCATATATGTATACATACATGCATATATTCTCTGTTGCAAATGTGTGGAAGGGAATATACAGAATTATTTTCTCTATAATAATGACAGTCAACCAATGCTGTGATGATGAAGCAGGATTCTCATCAGTAGTCTGGATAATATTGCCTCTCTTGTCTATCTACTCCCACTTGCTGTTTTTCCTCCTTCTCTCCTGTTCCCCTTTTCCTCCTTCTCCCCTGTTCCCCTTTTCCTCCTCCTCCCCTGTTCCCCTTTTCCTCCTTCTCCCTCTTTTCCTCTTTTTCCCCCCTGTTCCTCTTTTTCCCCCCTGTTCCTCTTTTTCTCTTTTTCCCTGTTCCTCTTTTTCCCCTTTTCTCTCTCTCCTCCCCAGATTTGTTCAGTATGATACAAGGACAAATGTGACTATTAAAATTGTCAGTCCTTCCAAATGGAGAGGTCCTGCCTACTAGAGACATCAACATCTGAAATTCTGTTTTTTACCTGGACTTTACCATCAGCCCTGGTCTTCAAGGAGGAAATATGTAATTATTTCAACCACAAGGCAGACTTAATCTGTAATCTTTTCACTGTCTTTTTCTATCAATTTATTCCATGCCATGTTATTAACCACAAGGTTGTACAAGTCACTGTATACTATAGTATTTAATTACAGAATTTCAGATTAAATATATGAATGAAATTCTAAAATGTCCATGATAATGTTCATTCTCATTTTTTTTTTAATGGTTGCAATAATCAAATATAAAGTTTAATTTTCACTTTAATATATAATTTCTTTGCAATTTGCTTAGAAAATTTGCTGAAATGGCTGTAATTGATGACAACAGTACATTGGGCATGTCTATAAAATTAAAAAGTACTCTTAGGTGACTAATACAGGGGGAGTCTTAGTAATGGGTGTGGCATAATTTTCTTGATATTCAATAAACTGGGAAAGAGGTTTTAATAAAAGTTGGAAATGAAATAGTTATTTAAAGGGTAAAAACTTTAGATAAATAAATAAAAACACACACACACACACACACCAGTTGAAAGACAGGTTCTGGTCCAATCACTGAAGTTAAGCAACATTGACCTTGGGAATACCAGGTGCTGTAAGTTTCGATGTGCAGGTAGTGTAATGGATAATGGCTCAGAATTGGAAATTGGAGAGCTGAGTTCCAATTCCAGTCAAGTTTGTTATATTTACTTACCCATAGGAAAGGTAGGAATCCACCATTTCCCCACCAGCTATGGATTAATTAGTAGTACTTGTATTAGAAAATTACCCCCACCCAAATTCTTAAAATCAAAAAATATTTAAATGACCTGTAAAAGGTTATAAACCATAAAAAACAAAAACAAACCATCTCTCTTATATATAATCAAATGACCTCAGTGACCCTGCTTATATTTACATAAGTTCTATCTCTGATATTGAGCACTTTTACCTCTAGGTATAGCATATGTTAAAACTATTTTTATCATTTATTATACATATTATGCAGGTTCTTTTGGATAGTGGATATTATGGAGTTGGTATATAGTATTACATATCTGTTTTTATCAAACTAGTTGGCACGCTGACCAAAATTTTTACCCCTCTTCTTGGTACAATTAGCTCCTCACATATAAAAAAAAAAAAAGGATTTTTAAAATAAAAAAACATAGACATTAAAAATGAATATATGAGGCGAATATGCATTATAATTGGCCCTGCTCTGGCATTTCGTCTACAGTCACTTTCTCACAGATGCGCCGTCGCCTCTCTCTGTTTGTTTTACAAATACTTTCATGGCAATTGCTCCGAGGAGCTGCATTCGCTGGTTCCCAGACTTCATGAGTTCAAGTGCCCTACGAGGCTGGCATCCCGCTCTCACCCTTTCACTGTTGAAACTCCTAAATGTAGCCGTCTCTTCTATTCCAATAGCTTCATATCTTGCACCTCTTGCCTGTGGAACTCCCTTCCCTATTCCTGTTTCCCTGAGAGCTATAATCTCCAGCTATTCAAATGTAATGTCAATCGACATCTCCAGTTGCCTTGATCTATCCACTACCCTTCTCCTCATCCTTTCTTCTATCAATCCGGTCTGATCTTGCTCCAAATTTTCTGTAACCCCTTGCGTCCTAGTGACTTCTCGCCTTGCTTGGGGTGAAACGCCTAAAAAAAAAAAAAAAAAAAAAAAAAAAAAAAGATATAAAATCATTATGCACAAATATTCCTGTAAAGAAATGTCTAAATCTACTAAAAACACACTTAAAAACAAAATTATCTATTCCTACGCATAAAATCATAAAAATGTGCCATTTAATCACCAATCAATATTTTTTCACCTTTGATAACATTTTTTTATAGATTGAAATTTGGTTTACTGATTGGGTCTCCTCTCACTGGCTTTTCAGCTTATAGATGTATATAAATTTAGCAGGTTACTTAGAAAATTGTTTGAAATTACTTTAGCTGATAATCTTGCATTGTGCATGTCTGTTCTGCAGATAGTTATTTTTTTTTTTTTTTTTTTAAATCTCTTTTCATTTCCTATCAGCAATAATAGCTGAAAAGAGTTCAAAGCGATCAAAGATAGAACAAGTGTCTTCTAAATATGGTTGCCCATCCTTGCATCCTCATCCAAGAATAAGAGCAATTGTTGAAAGATGTTCTTTTTATTGAGATTCTCTGCCGATAGATTGCAAACTCATCTCCTCCACATTCCCCCACCCCACCAAGTTATTATCTTTTGCTTCCATTATTTCTCTCTCTCTCTCCCTCTCTCTCTCCCTCCCTCTCTCCCTCTATCCCTCTCTCTCTCTCTCTCTCTCTCTCCCTCTCTCCCTCTCTCTCTCTCTCTCTCCTTCTCTCTCTCTCTCTCTCCCTCTCTCTCTCTCTCTCTCCCTCTGGACTGAAGTTTAGTACATAATCAACCCACTGAATGACACATTGTCCACAATTGCTCATACAATTGTAAAAGCTCACAGCTCTCCTTAGCAACGAGTTCTCAGCATTTACTAAATAAAATGTGTGTCTATTGTAGTCTTTAAACAACAAATTCAGACTGTTCAGTCTTTTACTGATTTAGTTGATATATCTTTGATGCTTAGTGTGTTTTGTTTTCAAATTATGCTTAAAAGTTTGTTTTTTTTCTTTTTTTACTTGTTGGTAGTATGCAGAAAATAAAATCAGTTAACCAAGTTCGAGTTCTTACTTTGTTGCATTTCTTTTCACGCAAATGTCCTTTGAAAAGGATTGAATCCAAGTCTTCCCCTACTTTAACTAGTAAGGTAGATTGGGCTTTCTGACTTTAGATGGCAGCCAGTTCAGGAAAAGTACAACTTAGAATTTAAAAAAAACATGGAGAAAACATGGCAATTCATAAAAAATAAATAAATGAATTTCTGGAGAGCTATAATTACTATTAATAATGAAAAAACAAAGGAAAAAAAGACAAACTTTGAACAGATTTATCTCATTCTATTGAAAATCTGCCTGATCTTGTATGGCATGTGCACACCTCTCTCTATCTCACTATTTATCTCTCACTCTCTCTCATATATATATATATATATATATATATATATATATATATGTGTGTGTGTGTAAATTAAAACAAGTGGAAAAACTATTCTTAGCCAATGCTTTTTGTTCTCTGAGGGATTTTAACAAGACAAATGTAGGATTTATTTTGTTGCATGTGTTTATAAAGAAGAGTAAGGATGTCTTTGGTTTATCAAGTCTTTTAAATTTGAGAATGTCTGTGAATATTCATGAGGTGGTTGAAAGATCAGTCAAAACATGTGGAGGACACAAAGTGCCATAATTCAGTCTGGTAAGGCAAAAGTAAGTGAATAATATTAAAGAAATTTTTTTTAGTTTTAATCTAAATTTTGATCTAAAACATGTCACACTTATCAAAAGAGAAAGTAATTTACTTAGAAGGAAAATTCTCGAGAGTGCCGCTATCAAAATTTATCAAAATATAAATCTATGCATTGGTTTCTTTCCAAGTTCCTCTTTCCTGAAAAAATTACTTTACCAAGCCAACATACACAACCACAAAAATATTGAAAAATTAAAAGAAAATGGTTAAATCCATTACCTCATGCTTTTGAAGATGTACAGAACATATGTCCATTCCAAGCCATAACAAACTATTTACAATCTAAACAATATTCATTTATTTTAAAAAAAAAAAAAAAAAAAGCCAAAACATGTCATCTAAGTCTTTTTATTAATTTTATTCTTTTACAGATACACTATATCACTGATATTGAGCGCTTTCTAATATGAATATATAAATTATATATAAAGTTTGTTTAGAAATGATTCTGCTATTTAATATTAACAAAAATATTGCCACACTCTAGCTATGGTATGTTTGTTTTCCTTCAGTGTACCTCTTAGTGACCTTATATGTTTATTCTATCATCTTTTTCACTTTTGAAAATAGTTTTTAAATTCCTCTTTCATAATCACCATCAATTAGCTGCCTCATAGTTCTTAAACTCACTCATGGCCCAAAAGTAAGTCTTTTCCCTTTTCAATGTCAATAACCGAAAACTGTAGAAAGTGAAATTTGAATTGTGGGTTTGAGGAGCTGACAGATTTGAGTAATGTGATGTTTTGCTGAATATCCCGCATGAGACTTTGCTGAAACAATTTTTTTTTTATTATGGATGAGATGCTTGTGTAGTATATAAACTCATTCATTTGCTTCTTTTTGCTTGAGTAATGCTAAAGGAGTGTTTGTTCAGGTGTGCATTCTAGTCCTCTCAGATTGGATGCCAAATTACATCAAAGCTGTGCATCTGGTTCTTTAGATTTTCAAAATGGCATGACAAGTTGTCCTACTTACAGTCTCTCTCTCCTCTGACAGCTGGTCTCTCCAACCACATTGTTTATTTTTAGATGTGAAAAAGTCTTCGGACAGATTTGGTTAAAAGTATAAAAAAAATGTTTATTCAGTCAAGCTGACAAGCATTGTTTTAATGCTTCTTTGGTTGAGGTGATGGTTTTAATCTACAGTCAATTAGCTTATAGTTAGATCTACTTGAAATGGGCTAAGTTCAAATCCAGCAGATATTAATGGCTTCAATACAGAAAAAAAAAAAAAATTCCTGCCTGCAGCATCTGATAGGGTTTTCCTAAAAACAAAATTCTGACACACTTTCCTTGCATGGGTTTGTCTCTCATTCTGATCTGAAGACTCCTGCCATAAATAGGTGAAAAACATTGTCTGAACAAGCTTTTCCATTTTTATCTCATTATCTTGACTTTTGTTCAGATACTATTCCACATCCTACAAATCTACAGCCTACAAATATCCATCCAGTTCTTTACAAGAACTTATAACAGCAAAAGAAAAGCAGAATTAATATAGACAGGGAACACTGGTGTCAGGCCTCTAAACAAAAATAGTCATCAACATAATTTCAACTTGCTTGGAAAATTTTCAGTTTAAATTCTTTCAATCTCTGCAATTTTTCAGCTAAACAGTGGGGGTGAAGGGGTTGCCCAGCAACATCAACAGTTTCAACTACCTGAGGACCAAAATTAAAAGGTTTATATTATGAACATTTACGTGGTTGGTTAGAGTCTAGGGATTATCAAGTTTTTTTTATTAATGATTTTTTTTTTTTTTGCTTCTCAGTCGTTCAATTTCCATGCAATCTTAAATTTGTTTGATCCCTCCTTGATCCAGACTGCATGTTGCCACTCTGTAATTTCATTAGTTCAGTTTTCATTTACCGTTACACAACAAGGCAGAATTGCACTTCATACACCATGTTCACCCTTAGTTAAGGACTCCTGGCCAAAAAGAATTCTAGTCATTTAGCATTTTTCAAAAACCTCTTTTTCTGCAGAGATGGAATTAAAAATGAATTCTTGAAGCTCATTATTCCAACATTGTTCAAAATAATTTGAAGAATTTGAAAAAAAAAAAAAAAAAAGTGCTTTCTGTTACTAAAGTGAAAATCAGATCACTCTAGACATTTTGAAATTTTGGTAGAAATAGTAATAAAAAAAATATATCCTGAGAACTTTTCAAGTTCTTTTCATTTTCTTAATTTATATATTTATAAGAACAAATAGGAAATGTTTATCAATCTAATATTTCATTTTTTATTGAAGCTTCATCAGATAATGAGATATGGATAAAAAGAAGAAATTCTGGTATTTTTACTTTTGTATTTGATTCTCATTGGTTAACCATTTTTCATGTACATTTGACTTGTCAAACAAACGTTATTATAGTTTGTGTTCTGAATTCAAGGAGAGATGATGCATCCAAAGCCTAAATGAAAAACTGTAAATTTCGCTTTATGTAAGTGTATAGTAATTCTAGTTTTTCTATGTGGGATTCAAATGATAATTTATATTTATAAGTGTGTGTGTGTGTCTAGTAGGCATTATGGTTGTTGGTTTTTCACATGTTGATTTGGGAATATTTTTTACATAAATAGTATTTGTTTTTAGATTCTTTATGAATGGATTGAGTAAAGGTTGGTGAAGTAATGTTTTTCGCGTGTGTTGGTACTATTAGAATTTAATTTTTTTTTTTTTTTTTAAGGGAAAAAAAACAGCTTTTTATTAAATCATTTGTCAAAATTATTTTCTTTCCTGTCATTCTTGGTAAAACAGATTCAAAAGTACCATTGATAAAAGGAGATCTTTCTCAGTATTTCTAAGGCCATGTATGTCTTTGGGGAAAAGAGATTGAAACAAGAATAGTCAGTCAAGTATCATGCTGGCTTCTACTAGCTGAGCTCTTGGGTTTTATCAAAACAACCCGTGATTGATGTTTCAAATTTGTGTTTTGTGAAAATTAGCTTTTTTTCCTCCTCCTCCTTCCAGTGTTAGCTCTCATATTTTGTAATTAAAAATATCTGGACTTTTTTTTTTAATGTTGTTAGCTCTAACTTATAAAATCTGAGTTACTTAAATTTACATTCTGAGCTTTTCATACTAAAAATGTTAAAGTTAAGTCTATTACCACTGGTAATTGTAGATTTTAATTATTTGTAAAAACCACACTAATCATAATGGCTGGATATTTTATGGACAGATATCATCAAATATATATATGTGTGTGTGTGTGTGTGTAAATATAAAATTTGCTCTTTTGTGAGTCATTTTTAACATGTTTCAAATTCTATGTTGTGTTAATAGGACTCACCTGGATTATACCAACAGATTATATATATATATATATATATATATATATATATATATATATATGTAAGCAAATATATGGATATAGAACCGACAATATGAAGAAAAATATACAGAAAAAAACAAACAAAAATCTTAATATGCAATTATGCTGTATTAATGTTAATATAAAGTCAACGTCGGACATTTCGGTCTATTTTAGACCATCTTCGTGTTGAATTTTTATATGTTCTAATGTTAATTATGTTTAAATGATAATGTCCTGAAGATGGTCTAAAATAGACCGAAACGTCCGACGTTGACTTTATATTAACATTAATACAGCATAATTGCAGATTAAGATTTTTGTTTGTTTCTGTATATTTTTCTTATATATATATATATATATATATATATATATATATATACACACACACACACACACCTCCCACATAATGGTAAGTCATTAGTGGCAATGGTGACTTCATCTAGCTAATGTCAAGCCAGTAAGTGGGAGTTATTTCTGCTGCACCCTGTGTTTGAATAAAATATTTTTTTTCTGGAACATCAACCATAGACATCTAGGTAACAATTTTCTCAATTTTTCTTTTTTAGTTTTCCCTAATGAATTTCTTTTTAGGAAATATATATTAGATTAATCTTTGCCTGTTGGATTAGTAAAGAAGCATAAATTGATAATCAGTTTACTTATTGGATGTAATTTGATGAATACCAGAAAATCCACTAGACATGTGCAT